TATTATAGTAATTTAATAGTTGAATTCATGAGTCAATTAAAGCTAGACCACTATGAAAAACCTGGAAACACTGAACGGCCGTTCCGTCCTATTGTGGGACTACTCAGCAGTGCGCATCCACGATCCCGCCTTGTAAGATTCGAACCTAGAAGTCTCGCGCACAAACGCTTAATCATTAAACCACTAAGCTGGTACCCATCAGTGTTAACGTCTAACTAATTTACGAATTTGCGCCACCGCCCACCACTGTCATCAGTGAGATACTATCTCAAAACTCCACTGGTCACGGCTTCTCACCAGAACTCTGGGAGATACCTCTTGGAGATCGTTACTAGTGAGCATATGATCATAATCAGAGAGGAGTTTCATACTAGGACGAAACGACCGTTCAGTGCTTTCAGGTTTTCTATGGTGGTCTAGCTTCAACTGACTCATGAATTCAACTATTAAATTACGATAATATACACAAAACCCCTCTCTGATCATAAAAATAAAGTTAATCACAATACTTCATTTGTGTCAAATATGTGAAATTATTTGTTCAGCATGCTTTATTTCAGTAATTTTAAGAGATAATAAATCTTTCTATCTTTTTGAATCTGTTTCAAATAAACAAGAGCTTGATACTTAGTTATCATTTATTTTTTTTGTAGAATTCATCTTTGGTAATATAATTGATCTACCTTCTAGAATGATCCCGATGAGGATTCGACATGTTTTTTTTAATGTACTGTAGACCAGAGAAAATTGAAAAATGATTTTCATTGATCTAAAAATGATATATGGATCTTCACCATCATTTGTTAATACCACTTCCTACAACTCTTTCACCTCCTTTATAGGTTTTAAGAAAGTAAGAGCGATAATCGTAGCAGAATAATGTGAATTCACTTGTTTTGTGAATTCTTTTTAAATACTTATAGCCTAGAAATTTCGTATCGGTCATTTCAAAAAAGAAAACAGATACAGAAACTTGTCATGTCCATATAAATGACTAGCAATTAAAGTAGATGGAACGAATGTAAGGTAAAGGGAAGAGATGTGAAGGCCTACTTTTGACTGCCTTAACGAGCAATTTGTTAAGCATAAAGTAAATTTTTTAAGAAATATAACTTCCCCCGTAAATTATTTGTAAGAAAATAATATCTACCTCAAACATGTCACATCATATTCCCTTGATTTTATCTCTCACAAATAATAAACAGGTCGACAACTGTTACCAAGCAAACATTATTCACACATGGTTACCTCTTCCTCTATCTTCCATTACGAATAAAGCTCGTGAATACGGTTGAATCATTTCCTTACCAAAACTATTCTGTAACTTATCAGATGGGAGCTGTTCAAATTTAGAAGACGCTCAACCTCTGAGTCTTCCCAATAAATGCACCTTCGAATCTTGTTATTCATAATATGTCTGGTGCTGATAAATAAAATACAAAACCTCTTAGCATATTCACGTTTCATTAGTAAGTACAAATATACAAAAAGTATGCTTATAACTACTGAAGGTAATAGATATATTACTGACATATATGAAGTACTTTGCTGTGTTATCATTTATAATCATCATTTTATGTAACTTCACCATAAAGATGTCTCCAACAATTAGGTTTAACAATCATTCCATAGTAGCTTAATTCACTAGGCCAATTATAAACTATCCTTAAACTAAAACTACTGTTATGGTATACATCATTAAGAGTGACTTGAATCAATGTGTTCGTGCATTATCTAATTATATCATGTGGAATAGTACTAAACACAGTAAACATATCTAATAAAACCGTGAATTTATTATAATAACAAACTTCTAGACCAACTTGAATGTAACTGTCTACATTTTAACTTTTAACCCTTACACAATACAACGTGATCTTCATTCAAGCTAGTGTCAATAAACTATTGTTTCATTGATGCCACTATGCTACTTCACAAAAGAATTTTATAACATTCGTCTTAAATAAATGACAAAATAAACATAAGGTTGTTACTGGGATTTGTGTTAACGATTATGATTATTTGATTACAATTAACCCGTATTGTAAACTATGAAATATCTGTATGACTATCGAGAACCATAAAACATACTACAAATTAAGATCTATAAATTACAGGTTATTACATATTGATTCTAAAATTCAGAAGACATTGGTGTTGTGTTGTAACATGATAAATGATAGATACCATTGGTAAAGTTTCACTCTTGCTACAAATGATTTTTAATAATGATCTTAATTATTTTAATTCAATAATGTAACATATTTTTCGTAAATGTAGTAGTTCAATTGAATTCCAAAAGTTAGCTTTCGTTGCATTTAGATTATTTTCTGCTGTAAAACGATACAGTTTCCAAGTGTACAATCTTATGGATGAAACTCACATCATTAAAAACAAAAGAAATAAATTGGTTTTGTATTAGTTGCTTGAATCCTTTCATTCACGTTTAGGACTGCAATTGGCCAGTCTCTTACTGGCATATGTACATCCTGTACGAACTGCCTCGATATTGCCTTAAATCACAAGCATTATATGCAAAGATGGATGGTGGTTAGTAGTGGAATCCAGGACGCGAGTTTCGTCCTATTTAGGACTTGTTACCTGGGTGTACCCGTATCTCAGATTTTATGTTCACTCTGGGACTCAAATCCAGTACCGTTCGCTTCAAACGCCATAACGTTATCCACTTAGCTACTGAGTCCTGAGAGCCACTAGCTTGTACAATGGGGTGAAGAAATAAACTATTCATATAAATTACTTTGGCTAACATTTTCTATTCACGAATGAATTAAAGAAATCAAAACGAAACTCAATTTACATTAGCTCATTTTTTGAGAATGAAATTTAAAAGTGTTACAATGTATAAATTATTACTTTAATATATTCATTAAGGAATTGCTTAATTTTATCACTATGTCATTAGCATACATACAGATTTTCATTAATACATTTTAATCCAGAGTTTATTCTTTAAAAATGGTTATAAAACACTTGATATGAATTTATAAGACTGAAAAATTGTATGCTCATCGTGAATACAGAAAAATTCAAGTAGGATCACTATGACGGTTGATAACATTTTCTTACTGATCTGTTCTTTGAAGAACTGAGAGGGGTTAACTTCAAAATCCATGCATCAAATATGCTCTACTAAAAAGACTATTACTGCTGAGGGAAAAATCTAGAAGCTCATCGGACGAAGATAAATGACACCTAATCACTGTCGTATATAAAAACTATTTAATTCCCGAATAATCTATTGAAATATAATCGTGATTTATAAATTACATAAAATGTAATCAACTCAGTAGATATATTATTATATCAGGAGATAACGTCGTAGCTAAATTATTCGTAAATGCTTACAATAATCTGTTTAATTGATATATATATATATATATATATATATATATATATATATATATATATATATATATATAAAGTATTAGGAAACGAAAAATTACAAAGGAAAACATTCTCCATCCTATGTCCTTGACCATGATAGTATCTGTGAGATTACAGTTAAATATATCTCCCCCTCGACATATCAAATAGTTTGAACATCCTTATTAAACAACAAAAAGATTTCTCGTCAAATAGTTTTCTCAACGCCATGGTTACTTGGGCTGCTTTATCCAATTAATATGAATTTATTATGTTAACAAAATGATAATAGGTTATTTGATGTAAAGCACTTAGCCCGTTTTATAACTAATTTTAATAAAACGACGAGATCAACTATCTTCTCACTGTTCTGTCAAGCTTCGATATAATACAAAACATAATTATTGTTCTCTGGCACATTAAGAATAAACACCTGAAAGTTATTTGAGATTTCTACTTAATATCAAAAAGCTAAATGAGTAGGTGAAATAAATCCCTTGCCACCTGATTTATTTACTCGAGTTACATGACAACAACTCAAATGTATATGTAACTTGTCGCCTAAACTTCTATTTACCAAGTTATACTACTTTCAAGTAACTAAAATATATCTATAGATTTTTTACGCTTTCAATTCCGAGCTGTATTGGCGTGTTCGAATACCATAGAATCACACATGTCCATTCCTCTTAAACTATATTTTATTTTTACTCCCGTTTTTTATTAGGATAAGCACAGAAATATTTCATTTACCATGAATTATAGTCGTGCTTAAGTTGATGAAAAAATTTTCAGTAAAGTAATTTTTATCACTGCTGTTCTAATGCATCTACAGTTACACTGAGTTGGTAGGTTCGGAAAACCATTTTAGTTGGTAAAATGACATACTTATTTATAAAATAGTTGTGACAAAACATCGCAGATCGACCAAAATATAAATGACTGTAAGATGAGCTTAGCAGATCACTACTTATCAGCCTATGAAATTGAAACTTGACTGTCAAACCGAATATTCTTGCCGTTATATCACCATTTTCATCACTTGATGACAATTAGTTGTTCGGTTGCCGTTTATATGAATGGCTTCACGGCAAATTAAAGCGTGATTTCTCATGGGTCAACACTAAACTTCCAGTCAAAAGATCACCTATCGATAGAAACGAAGTATAGCATAATTTGTTACATGAGTTGGGAACCATTTCGATCGAGTAGTTGCTATTAGACCACACAAGAACAAAAACACCAATTCCTATTGGTTGATTAATCCTATTCACTCTTTTTATAAAATTATGAAGGGAATTTTGCTATTTCTGGACGAAAAAGCCATATTGTAGATAATTTATAAGTTGATATTGAGGTGTATGTCCATCAGAGATCAGCTTTATGTGTTTTCAACATACTCAAAGGCGACAAATGTTACAAGTGAAAATGAAACACCAATCAAGATTAAGATCAAATATAAAGAGTAGATTAACTAAGTTCGAACCGGATAACATCTCAACAAACTATTATATTGACTCATTTTACATTGCTCAGTAATTCAAAGTCAAATAAACTAAGTCGCTTTACAACTAATTTATTCTTAACTTAATCTAGAAAACCAATCTACTAATGTCGTACGATTTAAAGTGTAGCAGTTAACAAAAATAACTGGTTCAGTAAGTTATACATTTGATTCCAATCCAAAAAAACTTTAAGGTACAAGATCAATCCATGAAGAGTTGGAAATATACACACGACCTTCAATGATTAATTACAATAGATACCAATGATCTTTGGACGACTTATGAAGTCAGTTAAAGAACTAAGGTTTACTGCTTTGTGAAACTGACTTCAATCACTGAACTCCGAGTTCGAAACTGATCCAACGCAATGCAATAACGTATACGTTGTGATCATTATCAGCAATTCGACCATTCATTTATTAGTTGATTAGTATTTCACCTCAGTATGCATGATAAATAAAAACAAACGTGGAACTTCTTAATAAATCGATTAGTTAGTAACTTAATATTTCATTTACAGAATAAGATGAAAAGGTAAACATTAGGAAAAACGTAGTCACTTCTACATTGTCAATGAAATACATTTATATCATGGCAAATTAAACCTATGGAAAAAGTATCTATAAGAAAATAAGTGTGATAACATGGATTACAATGCTGGGCATCTTAAAGTATACTCCAGTACTCATACAATTATTTTTCTACAACTATATTTCAGGTAATTTGTTTTTAACCAGCTGTTGCTTTCTTATTAAGAACCTCATCAAGTTTCTCATAAAACAGTTCTTCTGCAAACTGTTGACAGTTTTCAACTGTCCAAATACTATTTCCTCCGGATATGGTTTTGTGCAGTTCTTGCAAACACTGTGCTTTAATATCCGACGCCATTTTTGCATACTGAGTTCTCCACAAACGATCTGAAGTAAATGGAAATTGATAGATAAACGTACCTTTAGATCTAATTATGTGATTTGTGACTTTTCTCAAGTGAATATCCACATTATGGAGTAAACTGTCTAGATTAATACGCTTGCTTCTGTTTTTCTCCTCATCTTTTACAGAATCTTCATTTATAATCGGTTGGTTTAACAACAGTTTTAAGAAACTAAGCAAACTGAATGGACTATGTCTATTAACAATAGAAGCGACAGGATAAAAAGACAGACATACACATTCTCTTGAAGTGAATTGATTGTGATTGTATGCTTCTCCCATAAATTGTTAACTGGATCGGGCCATTCGAATTTTCTCTCCATCTTATGGATAATATCATCTGGAACTGGACTTGGCCTGGCGCGATTTCTAAGAATACAAGTATCTATCGCACATCTACAAACTATTGATGCATAACTACATGAATCTGGTATAATAAGAAAACACAAGATTACACTTTTTTGCTAAATTATAGAATGAACGACGCATACTACAGTAGTAGAAATTGTCGTCTAATAAAACTATGATGTCCTTTGTATCTAGAGTAGAGTATATGTTTATCCTCAACCAAATAACTTTCTCCTTTTCACTCAAATCATGTATGATGTCGAACCCCTTCCATATAGCTAACAGTTTCTCCAAACAACCAACAACAGCTTGACGCCAGTCCTTCCAATCAGAATTCTAGTCCGATTAATCGAAAATAAACAATTTTCATACGTTTGCTTTCAGAGAGAGTATTTGTACTGGAACAAGTTGATCATATTCTAGCCATATAACTGAACAATCGTTTGTTTCTAACTGATGCAGACGTTCACACAATGTACTTTTCCCACTTCCCGGAAGACCTAAGACAGTCGTTAGTACCACTTGTTTCATAAGCACAACTGAAATTGAAAAAAAATTGGAAAGTTAGCTGAAAATAACGCTTAATTTACTTGCGGTTAAATGAAAAGCTGGTGCAAAAAGAAAACTACAGAGAATGGAGGTTATTAAAAGATCACCGGGAGTCTGATTTACAATTTCAAGTCCTCAGGTGTGCATTAGTGTCGTGCATTTCATTTTAGTTACACAAGTACGCAAAGTCTTTCATGATATTTCACAATTATCTGCGTAGTAATTTATGTATGGTGATTTATGGACAGAGATTGTTACCTGGAAATAAATAAAAAATTGAGTTCAATACTTTTAGGATTGTCATCTTTGAATGAGGTGATTGATCATATGAAGGCATAAGCTAGTAGGGAAATAACCGTTTATGTAGGCGAAAGTAGCTATAGGCGAGTACTATTCTATTACAGCATACAACAAGTGTTTACTAAGTTAAAAGTAAACGGAGAATCGAAAGAATGATTTTTTGAACATAGAAATTGAATAAGTTTGTTTTGAAAGTAACAAACAAATTGCACTATATTGAAAGTATCTCGAAGTCATTAGTATAGATTCAACTTACAATACTAATAGTAAGAAGTGAGGTTGCATGTTCAGTTTTACCAGACAGATACTTTCTGTTTGTTTGTAATCACTGATATTTGTCGTTTACGTTCGCATGGAAGCGAAAATTAGGACCAGATGTAACTTAGGTACTGGATAGATTTACGGAAATAATAGGAAACACTTGGGTAACAGACGTTTATAATGGGCTGCGAACAATCTGAAATAGCGGCATCCCTTACGACCCATAGACTGGCTAATATTTCCAATCTCCACATCTATCTACGATTTTTAGGAGGGGAAAACGAACAATAAATTTGATTAGATTGTTTTTAAACGTGAGATTAAGTGGCAAGCGTTTATCATGGCTAGCTAATAAAGGTCGATTCCGTAACGTACTTCCGTTACTGAGAAATGCAGAATTTACGTATTAATGGATAATTTGTAGTTTATTAAACTTCAATAAACATTTAAATGTGACACGAATGTCTTTTAATTACAGCGATAGATCAATCCTTATAAGGAACTGTAGTTAAGTTTCTTTGGTACTGTGTTTACTGTCCGTAATTGACAGGAAAAAATGGAATACCTGAGTAGAAACTTTTAGGTAGTTATTATCGCCAGGCTTTTTCGCTATATCTGTCGGAAAATGTGGGGAAGTATTGCATTAAAACGAGATATTTTGTATTATTTCACCGAAATTGCGGAAAATTTTTGCGATTTCATCAATAAATATAAACGAATTTCCCCAAAGTTTAATAAGATTCTGGGGAAATTTAGGGGAAATATTCGGGAGGCCGCTATAGAAACTTTCTGGGAAATGACATTAAAACCCCAAAATTTACTATAGTGGCTTCCCAAAAATTTTCCCAAAACGGGTCAAATTTTCCCCGAAATATATTTCGGGGTAGATTGTGACTGCTTTATCATCGCTCAAAGGTTATTCATAAATTTGTCTCATCTTAGTCGTCAGAAAATTATAAACTATACCAACCAACGCACGCAGAGTCGACTTCAGGCACTCAATATGTGGGATATAGGCTGTCCATCCACTCGAAGACTTACTAAAAAGCTTTGACTAGTGATAGCTAGACTACAAAGACATCGGTAATTATAAAAATCACCGTATATACAGACAAAACATTAAAATTATGATAAGTAGAGTAATGTATGAAAAATGTCTACATACACAAGTGCCGTGAAGAGCAAATGTCCGAACATAAGCTCGCCGCACAAGGTTATCGTTCAAACTAAGCTCGTTCATATCTAATATCCAATATTTGTATGATGAGTTTGCGTAACCCGACTGATTTATTTAAGCTCATTTTTTGATATGTTTCTAAATCTTTGAAGTCTTCCAGTATGTGTCTCACAGCTATTCATCTGCTCTTTCATTTGTAGATGTGATAGTTATTTAAATTACCTTGGATATAAACGACTAAGTTGATTCTAGTACACTGGGTTGGCCAGAGCCAGTAAATTTCACATTATCAAACAGAGGATTCGGTTCGTGTCCGTCTGAAAAACTTTTCTTAAACAATCCGAGCTGACAGGCTATGCTTATTGCGGTGGAATTAATACTAAGAGTAATGACAATGGTAGTGTAGTGTCTGTTATTATGTTAAGCCCATATACCTTATTCTAGCTTTCGGACATCTCAATCTATTCATTCTACTTGAGCCATATTTTGACCTTGTTAATTGTTCGCTTATCAACCTTAACTGTTTTTATATAAGCGCGTAGATGTATGTTCACTTCATATCCTATTCATCACATGTCTGTAACTTGGTTTTGTGTGTCTATAAATATTGATTGACGCTTGGTTAAATGGGGAGTTGGCTTACCAGCCAGCTTCACCGCGCGTCATTCTTTGCTTCACCTTCTTCTTTTCACGTCGTTCCCCCGTTCGTTTGTCAAATCAACAATTGTACAAAATATATGCATTCAAAAGTCCATCCTCGTTATTTGACTTGTTTAATTCCGTTATTAACTAACGTGATTCAAGTCTATGATTATATACGAGGATAGGCGATAGCAAACATTCATACAATCAATTTGGAGTCAGATCACGGGCCACAATAGTAATAATAAAAACGATATTAGTAATAATGGGGACAATTGTAATGATAATGCATAGATATAAAACACGCCTCGGGTGTATCTGTTCCATTAGAAGAACGACGAGCTGTGAGTAAGTCCTTGGCTATCAACCCTCTTCTTGAAGCTACTTACTGAAGTGGTTGTGATCGCGTCGGCTGTGAGAGTATTCCAGACAGACTTGACCCTAAAAGGAAAAATGTGACCATGTTTAGGTTTTCGCTTTCCAATGTGCACCTTGTTGTGGGTTACTTTACGAGATACATTGAAGTAGCGCAAGTAGGATTTTTTTATTTGGATGGTCACGAATTTTCAGTATGCAGTACCACATTAACCAATTACTTAGCATGCCCTTGTAGCTTGACAGCAATAATCCGAGTTTGAGGAGTCAGCCTTCAAAAAGTTATCCCTTAGTCGTCACACCCTAGAGATATTTTCTGGTGCATGGGCTTCAACTTCTCCAGAACTAACCCGGGAATTTAGTGGATGTTTCTCAGATCAATAAAAGGTTCTAGTGTGGAAGGGTGTCTCGAGTTTGTGAGTTCCTGATTCGGATGAGTGTTGGAATTGTCACTGAACATTTCTGACATCTCGGTCGTTTTTTCTTAGAAGCACATAGGGTTTCTAATTTGTGGACTACAAGAAATCATATTTAACGTGTTGGGATGACCAAATGATTATATGTTTCTTGCAAGTTGTCTTCCAGATATTGGCTCTCACCATTTTTCACGAATTGTTTAATCAACATAGTGTAAATCACCAACGTAGATGATCTATGTCGAAATGATTGGAGGCTTACTCGAGTTAGACGTGAGTAATGTGATTTATGTTGTCCCCATAAATTACTGTAGTTTGTTTGTTCCCTGTTTTTATTTTTGTGGGTTTTTCACTGCATTTGATATTTCACTAAGCAAAACTCCATTAGTTGCGCATGGTTTGCAATGTACATGTGTGTTTTTCATCAACTAGGCTATTTTTCACATATTTGGTGTCCGAAGTTTTAATAACTATTAAAAGTTGCTTTTTGGGTTTTTCATGTCCCTGTAAAACACGGCGTTAATCGTAATTTGTGGTCTAAGTCCATTTTACACCTGGTTTTAATTATTATTTGGTGCATGTTTATTAGCTGTCTGGTGTGCCAGACGACGTTCCTGCTGAGTACATTGAAGCCCTCATTATGTGGTTAAAATCTAGATGGTAATCTGACAGTATAATCGTAATATCATGGATAAAATAGTTAATTAACCTCACATTTTGTACAGACACCGCACTTCTTCATTTTTTCTGTATTGTAGAGTGAGGTACTTTTGTTATAAATTGGGATTTCACATGTCCCAGTCATTATGTAACAGACTTATTACAACCCCCTCAAACTCTTTCATATATTCACTTAATGAAGGTAAAATATATATATATAATAAGTTTTCGTTATCAATTTGAAAACATTGGAATTTTTCGCATATCATGGTGAAAATTTCAATCACGCATGCCGAAGCCACTATGTGTGCAGCACGAAGCCATTTAAATAGGCTTCGGGTCTGTTACACTAATGCCCAAGCTTGCTCAATAAGCGGTCGGAACTAGGTGTACAGATTGACTCTACCAAGGCAGAAACCTGACTAACGAAGCCTACAGATAGTATGGAACTTGATTTTGAAGGTTTTACATTGGTAAGAGCCGACAGAATTCAGAAGCGTAAAGGGTGGGAGCAGCTCTATTCATTAGAAATGCCGCCCCATTTGCCATCATCGACAGTGTATCTCATGAGTATGGGTCGTGTGAACTGGTTATTTATGGCTTGAAATGCAAAGGATAGGAACTGCTGATTGGTTTTGTCTACCTCAGTCTAAGCTGTGAGATAAATGAGTCTTGCTAGACAGTCTCAGTACTTGCTCACAAAGAGGTCAATGTCTAATCCTAGGAGGTTTTAGTGTACCCACGTTAGATTGGAAAAATCTGAGGACTGAATTGTCAGAAAATTCCTTCGAGCAGGAACGAGTTGATACGATTATCACATGTACCCAGTGTGGAGGAGCTCGGAATACCTGTACCTTGACCCTCCGTGAGTCTAGATGGTTGTACGAAAAAAAAATTGTTAAGGAATCCATAGAATGCCCTAAACACTTGTATTTGTACATAAACCAGAGGGCAAAAATAAGAGAAAATATTCCAGAACTTTGGGGAGACGGTAATTCTTTGTCATTAGAGGAGAACGACTTTGGTAAACCTCAAATATTTTCGAACTACTTAAGCAACGGTACATATTATATAAACATCCTTCCCTTCAGTCTAAACAAGTCCTCCTCCACACACACTGGACAAGGTGATCATTAAATAACTCGATATCTTTTGTCTGCTAAATAAACCTGACATAGACAAATTCACGCGACCCGATGGACTGCAGTCTAGGTTACTACAGAAATTATGTAACTTCGTTGCGAACCCTTTAAGTATATACTTTAAACTATCCATAACCCAGGGCCATTCATTAAAAGAATAGAAGAACGCCATAGTAAGTCCTGTCTTCAAAACAGGTACGAAACATAGACCTGAGGATTACCAACCCGTTAGCCCAACTAGCGTGGTTGTTAAAATTTGAGAAAACATTATTCTACTGGAGCTGTTTAAGTTTCTCAATGAAAACCGAATTCTTTTGGAAAAGCAGAATGATTTTATAATAGGTTATTCCTGTCTCGCTAACTTATTAGTGGCTCGTGAAAGCTGGTGAGCGCTTACAGATCAAAAATTACCTATAAACGTAGGCTACATTGATTTCAGTATAGCTTTTCACAAAGTTCCTCACCACCGACTGTTATATAAGTTAAGAAATATCGAGGTCGAAGGCAATCTCTTGATACGGATAAAAGACATTCTAGTTGAGCTCCAACAAAGAGTACGGGTGAACTCCAAGTTATGTATCTGGGAAACTGTGCTTGATGGAGTTACTCAGGGTACAGTTTTGGGGCCTCAAAATGACATGGACGAATTATCTGAATGGTCTCAAATTTGTCAATTGCCGATAAATACTTTCAAGTGCTCAGTGATGCATATTGGTCATTAGGGTACAGATACATATATGGGGAATAGCCATGAACTACCTATTATCCAGGGGCACAATTACTTGGATGTCATCGTTAGTCAAGACCTAAAGACTACTTCACACTGCCGTGCAATAGCTGTCGACGTTTTTAGAACCCTATGGTCAATGTATAGAGCTTTAAGCCATATCGACGCTTAAACATCTTTGACTTTTTATGCGGTGTTTGTGCTTCATAAACTTGAGTACTGTATACAAGCGGCTTGACTTTGCTTAAAAAACAGTGAGCTTATGGAAAGTATCCAGAGAACAGCAATTAAGCTGATCCCAGAATAGCAAAGCTCCAGTATGATACTCAACAAGCTAGGCTAAACCTATTCCCGTTGTCATATCGAAGAACTAGCGGTTACTTGATTACAGTTTCCAAATTGCTTCGTGATAAATTTGCACTTGATATGCCTTCATTTCTCTTGTTTTCCTAAACAGAGAATTTACGAGAACACTAAAAATCTTCACAAATCAATAACAAATTACTTGTCATGTGACCATATACTTCCCCATAGAGACATCAAAGAGTGGAATTGATTACTTCAATACGTGATTGAAGCTCCATCTGTTAACACTTTCAAAAAACATTTGGGTCAACTGAGGGACAACCATTGCCGGGACTAACACAGGTCGTCAAGCCCCCTGTCCTTTCCAAACTGAAAATGAAATACTTTAGTACAGTTGGTCAAAAAGGTTTTCAACTGATTTCCGGAAGCATTTGGTGATGACTCAATTTACAATACAAATAAAGGGAAGTGAGAAATGTGGCTCAGTAAATCTAATGCACTTAGTTATAAGTCGTCTCAATTTGTATTATGGTAAATAATGGAAGGATACTTTCAATAGCGTTTGCTTGATTGAGATATGAAAAAAGAGAATAGTTAGCCTGGATTGTGGAAAGATACTGAGTGATTTAAACTGGAACATTTGTAGTGGTACTGGTCATAATCACACGATTCTCGAGCTGACCAAGAGATAATTGAGAAAATTCGTACTCAACGTTTGTATAAACTTGAGTGTTGATAAGATATTGAGATCACCTAAGCTTATGTGTCACAAATATAGGTGACAAGGTGGTG